CGATCATGCGTTTTTGCAGTGTTTCGTGCTGTAATAAGATTACTCGAAAATCCGCTAGCTAGAAACATCTTGTACACAGTGGTCGTTGAATTTCAGGAACCTAATTATCTACGCTATGCTTGGACAGGGGCCATTCCCTTGAAATCCCAGGTTCCAGCTTTCTCAGTTCCCGAGTTATCCAAATTGCAGCCAAAAAATTTCGCGGGGCCGTGCGTAGCCACCACGCTTAACGGGGGACTGAATTTGATAAATTCGAGTTGTAGATGGGTTGGGAACATTTCCTGAAACTTTCAGCCTCCCAGTTTTCTTGGTTCCCGAGTTAGCAATTTTCGCGCCAGGAGCCCTCAGGGGCCGTACGCGGGAATCACGAACCCCCCGGGGCTGAATTTGAAATCTTTGAGTTGTACTTGGACTGGAAACATAATCTCAAAATTTCAGCTTTCTAGCTTTTCTGGTTCTTGAGTTAGCGATTTTCCCGCCAAAACCTTGAGGCGTTCGTACGCGGGGCCTAGACGTGCTTGAGGATTGGTACCGCGGTCCTGGGGTGGCACTTGGCCGGGGAACCCACTCGCAAAGTTTTGGCGCCGGAGCTTGCTTCGAGTTGAAATACCCGAACAGACGCACATACACACACACACACACACACATACACACACACCGGGGTCGTCGCAATATGAGTTTTCGTATTTGCATATTATGCAAAAACGCATAAAAACCACAAAGTGAATGTGCGCCAATACGTCGAAGCGTTGCCGGTTAACGCAAACTTCCTAGTAAAAACGGGGTTTTAGAAGTAGTTAAGTCATGTGCGGCGAAGTGAGAAGTGGGTAGGTTAAAGTAGAAAAGCAAATGCTAGCTTTGTCGTAGATGCGAAGCGACAGCAGAAAGTGTCGGACATATCTCTTTCTGATCGTTCAAAATTACTAATTGCAGTCAGGTAGATGCAAGCCTGGGATGCTTGAGGCTTCAAAAGAAGATGAAATTTCGTACTGCTTGCCGTGGGTAAGTGGTACTTGTGAGGAAAAAGCGAGCTCATAACAGCCTTCGAAGATCTGACGCACATACAAAATGGTAGCCGACAACAGCTGGAAGCAAGTCACGCAAACCATGAAGTTCTTATTAAACACAGACTGCATCGTAAAATGTCTTTTTGTACATGGCACCTAAGTCGAATCTTTCTACCTTACTATTCTTATTAAGTACGCTTGGTGCTTGGATGCTTTCCAATATCGCTGTTCTTCACAGCTTTCTTTTAGATGATCTTGCCTTTTGGAAATTTTAGCGCGCCTGTTTTCATGTTTTTTCTTGAATTATGATTAGAACTGCAAGTTTTGCACCGGTCAAAAACATTTTAATCAATTTTCTTACATTTATGCTTTTCTAGTTCACTTTCGAAAGCATGCGCTTTGTCACATTTTGATCACTGAAACGTCTTATCTGAATGCTGTTCTCGGAAATGGTTGTTTAGTCCCGCCATTGTCTTGTAGCTGCAGTTGCATTCCGGAACAGTACACAGGAACCGATCTGAAATTAATTGGTTTAGAAGCA